CCCCCCCGACTTTTCATATTGATCTCAGGTCGTCGTCGTCTTTGGTTGGTGTGACTGTCGCCTCTTGCAATAGCTCACATTAATGATTTAGTCACATGAATATTTCATTCCTCCTGCTGGAAAGTATGTTATACTCGTTGCTCAAGCCTCATGCATGCGTTTAGTGAGCGTGTAAACAAGGAGTGGTTTCCAAAACACATACTTGGCTTCTAAACAAACACGCATCTCCCTGGTTTAGCAAGAGCCAGTGAGGCTAAATAAGCATGACAGTGATTTTCCTTTGCAACAAGTAAGACTGCTCTCGATTGTTGGAATGCAGATCAAACGGTGAGCTCAGAAGAAGCAGGTATAACAGATGTTTAGGATGATTTTTGCACCGGTGATATCGAGTAGCAGGATAAAGGCCTCGCTATGTGGCTCTTTAGTTCCTTAAGTTTTCCACCTCTCTGGCACATCCTACTCTGGTCACTTTAAGCACAGACATAATCTTTTCCGGTAGGATAAAATGTGTTTATGACCCTTTAAACTGATCTTTCAAATCCCCATGATAAACCATGCCATACGAAACAACCGTGTGAAACATCCAATCCTAAATAAACAGCTCCTTGACAGATTACTAAAGCTGGTGCAGTTTGACAACACTAGTGTCAGCAGGAAAAATAAGTAATGTCAAACTCTTGATACACAATAAACTAGCTGGACAGGATGCAATATTACAAGAACACTTTTATAAAATAACGGCTGATTGTTCTTTAAAATCAAATTTTAATAATATATCCAGTTTGCATTTGGAGTCATAAACAGCACAGAGACTTTTTACCAGCTTCTTGTTACATCAGACGAGTCCTTTCTGTTTAAATGGCAAATAATGGAATTGGGACTTAATTATCCTTCGTAACCGTTAAAAAATACTGGAAACTATGAGAACAAAATGGGCTTATTTGAGAACTTTAATATAAAGTAATGACTAGAAACTCCACATTGGGTGCCTCCAGTTCAATATTAGATTGTTAGGTTTGTTTGTTTTGTGACTCATAAAACTGAAGTTTTTGCTGGAAAGTGATTATTCTTTGACACAAAACCTTAGACGGCAAGTTAGTTGTACGCAACGAGACATTCGCTATATCAATAACCCTACTGCAGAAGCCCTTCACGTGTTTTAAGCCTAAAAGATTGATTTCACTGATGAGCAGACGAATAACAAAAACGGAGAAATAAACGATTAAAATTCCCCAAAAGGGGGAAAAAAAATAAAAAATCAGCCCTCGCCGCAATCTTTACTCAGATAATAGATCTCTCTACTCAACAGCGCCCTGGTACGTTTGTGTACAAATGTCATTGTGCTCACTAACCACCACACATTTGTTTTTCTTGTGTTGATGGTGGCCTCCGTGTCGTGTTTGCATGTGAGCTCGTGGCGAGCCAGACTTACGTCGTGGAGTTGCTGCTGTATCCAGAAGGACACTCCTGAATGCAGGCGCCGTTGTGGATGACGTACTCATGGCAGTTGGCATCCAGGTTTTTAGATTTCTTACACTGGTTGTGAAGGTCCTGCAAGACAAAGAAAAAAAATAAAAAATAAAAAAGACATCAGCCCGCCTAATCTGTTTTGGTGGCTAAAAAGATTTTCTATTATAATGAATTAATTAAAATGGCTTCTGACCCCTGAAAAACACATGTGGCGAGTCTTAGTTTCCCCCCAAAATATGGCTGTGGTCTCATCTTGTTCTTGTTCATCATCGTTTCTCCCAGCAGCTGCTCCCCAATAAATTCAATGTTTACATCCCTGCTGGCAATAGCGCAGTTGTTGCACAGTTTTTTGTTTGTGTTTCTTCCCCCCCCACCCCACCCTCACCCCACATATTTTGTATAGATTTCTGCTGTTTTTGTATACTGATTGTAAAAAGTCTGCTGGGTTTTTTAAAGTTCAAAACAATTCCATGTTATGGACGTTTTGTAAACGTCATCTCACTCAGTTGTACATCCTTTGGATTGTAAGTACAATATTTATATTCTAATAACTGCATCTTGTACAGTATGCTATTATTATAATATAAGTGTTGTTATTTTTAATCTTGTTTTATACACAATTTTTAAAACTTTTGAAACTTCTGTGTGAACCTGTTTAAATCAGATCCTCTGTTACGGCAGAATTTCCCCTCAATGAGACAATAAAGGTTTTCCTATTCCTCTTCCTATTCAATTCTATTCTGTTGTGTCTTAGGAAATTAATATATACTTTCATCCCTCCTTGTTGAATATTTTTAATATAATGACATTTATCCATTAGACAATTATTAAAACCCAAATTAGAGCAAATAAAAGACTTTGCATCTGAGTCCAAAATGTCGTCTTCAGATCAGAGCTGTCTGACACAAAAGTGACACCTTGCAAAAATCAACAATACAAAACACTATTAAAAAATGTTAAAAATAAGAATTGTTTAAAAGTTCGCAATTATGACAACGTCCATCAGAGGTCCTACAAAGTGGAAGCAATAAAACACTACCTGCTTTAAACTACTTCACAGAACCCCACTTCAGACAAATCAGAATATCTCAGTAAGGGGATTTGGTGACAGAAATCTCAGCTACTACAAACCTGGCAGAAAGAGAAGCTGACACAGCGCCAGCCTTGGAAAACGTAGTATCCAGGAGGGCATTTGTCCATGCAGATGTTTCCATGCTGGAGGTTCCTGCAGGCCACACAGCTGGTGGCGTTCCCTGGCTCCGAGCAGCCACCCAGGCACTGCTCATGGCAGCACTGGCCCTGACGGCTGCATGCGCCATTTTTACAGTTATCGCATGCTGAGGAAAAGCAGAAGAGGAAGAAGTTGGTTAATATCAAGCCACACAGACAGACCTACAACATTTTTATTGTAGTTTGAAAAAAAGACTGGGGGAAAAAAAAACCAATTTTTTTTTTTTTTTTTTTTGCATCTGTGCACAAATACACAAGCTCGGTTTAAAGCTCACCTCTCAGAAATGCCACAGATCTTACTGCTGCAGTGATTGATATTAAGCTCCAATGAAAGCTCTCATTAGCCCGTATTTACATATCTACCCACACTAACAGAACCTCGCTATCTAAACAGGACTTCAGTGGTAAAGCAACGCTCCCTACAGGGGTAAAAACATCACAGATAGATTAATAGGGTTTAAGTTAAACTGCACTGAAGCTCACAAGTTGAGTGCCAGCACTAATCAGAGATCAAAAACAAAAGCAGAAACGCTGCAGCTGTAAAGACCTTCAAAGATTTAACCGCACAAACACCGCTGCTGTTCCGACATCCGCGGAGAGATTCAGTGACCACAGTTTACAGTCGGCGGATCAACAGCAGCAGTCTGCAGCGCCATGGAAACAACCTGAACGGCTGAAAGCCTGAAGATTATGTGTTGCTAGCTAATGTCGGCTTTCATTTCGCCATTTGGTCAGAGAGACTGATTGTCAAACTGTCTACCAGGTCTGTCGTGTTTGTGTGGCGTGTTCATCTCCTCTCAGAGGAAACTGAGCTTCAAAAGAAAGATTTTTTTTTAAATGAACCCCAAAGAAAAGCTGCATGCAAGCAGATGTACAGTGAGACATAAATTTGAAATGCAAAAAAATCTTTAACAATCTGAAAATTGTGGTGTGAATTTGTACTCAGACCTCATCTGTCCTTTCCTTGCACAGCCACCTGTCAACATTAGTTATAGTTGCTGGTATTTTAGAGTAGATATTTTGTTTTTCTTTGCAAAAAAAGAAAAAAAAACTGAAGATCCTTCAGATTGTAACACAAGTGAATGAGCAACATTCAATTCTCAGTTGTCAAGATTTTCAAGTTGATTTAGGTCTGGACTTAGACTGGACCATTTTAACATGAGTTAATGGACTGATCTAAATCAATCCATTGTAGTTGTGACGGGATTGCCCCATGCTTATCTCCATGTCTTTGAGGATTTTCCCAGCAATACTCAGCTTTTACTGAAGTTAATATATTCAGGGGAAATATTCACCTGGCAGTGCAAATTTGTATTTTTAATTTAGCGCTGTTATATCCATCACCATAATGACAGAATTAATCCCGTTTGTGTCACAACATAGGCCATGTTCAAGGTTTTACTATCAAAGACCAATAAACTTTAATTTTGTAACACTTAACACTGATATTTTAAATACCCAAAATAAAAACAACCAAAAACAATAAATGAAACGGGGGAAAAATCTCCACAGAAACCATAAATTAAATAAAATGGACTATGAAGTCTCTGTATACCAAACTGCCCTTCAAAAAAATAATCATTAGATATTATTGAACTCATTTTAATTTGTCATACAATTACTTGATTAATTCTCCTGCTGCTAGTTTTGATATCAAGAACAGAACCAGAGTGTCTCAGAAAACAGATCCGGGTCAAACAGCAATAAAAAGTCATCTTAATCTGTTAAATAAAATCCGTTTATAATTTAGTCAAAAATTATAACACCACCGACGAAGAGCTGAAAATTGCAGCAGCAGCCACAGTTTGTGAGAACTTAGCCTCATCCATTTATTACCAAAGACATGGTTAGGACCCCCTCTTTCTGCTTGGAAGGCTGCCCATTGTACTGCCTGAGTAAAGAAGCAAGAAGGGTTGCTGCAGGCAGTGGGGCAGGGAGTTGGTGGGATAATAAGGGTAAAGAAGAGCAGCAATGAGTAGAGGGAAAACCACACCATGTTCAGCCTTTGGGGTAGTTCTTCACTCCTCTGCTATTCCTTTACTACGAGCTGTGAACCCACGGCACACCGCAGTCTCCGACAGAGAGAAATGCACAGCCCTACCCCGCTCTCTCTCATCTGTTGGCTGTTTGTATGTGTACGTGCTGCGACCACGGCGTCGTCGCGTAACGGAGCGGGGAGGGGCGTCCCTGGTCCGGCTCCAGATCCAGGATCCGCGCCGGAGATCCGCTCCAGCCCCAGATCCAGATCCACCCTCGGCTTCAGCCAATGTGTTTGCTGGCTGGGGGAGGCAACTGTTCTGTGGCCTCTTCCATGTTGGGGTGGAGAGCCGCCCAGGTTTAACCCTGGCCCTGCTGGGGCAGAGGCCGAGGGGCGGTAGACGCAGCGAAGGAGCCAAACATGTCCGGAAAGATGAATCCGAAACCGCTGCTTTAGAGGAGCAACAGCAGGAGCGGCGCGAAAGAAAGAGAAGCTATGATATATGAGCTGCTCTATGCCTATATCTACATTTTAACATCAATAAAATCTACACATAGAGTCTGGTTTGTTTATTATAAAAAGTGATTGTTGTTGATGTTATATAAATAAACCGAATAAAGTTAAAGTGAACTGAAATAAATAGTTGTTGCTGTATGAAGCCAGATTGAAATTCAAACATGATGTATGATATTTTTTTTTACCTTACAGATAGGAAAATATAACAGCTAGCAACATGATGATTTTAAGACTTTTAACATCGGTAAAATCAGCAAACATTTTAGATGTGGGCTTGAGGAATACAATTTGAGACCTCTGATTTAAATCATTTAATTGTCTTGTTACTGAAATGTGCTATGCAAAGAATCTCTCCTTGCCTTATTGGATTTGGTGAATAAAATGTTTTTAATATGCAATTTAATAAGTAGAACTGCATTTTATGATTGAGACAGATAAAGTGCTACAAAGCGTAATAACACTCTTCCTATTAGCACCCTTTGGGAAGTGAAAGCCCCTAAATATGTGGGCAGGTTGTTTCTGAGCAGACACCAGCTTTCAGGAGCTAGATTAAGTTTTAGAGGATGGGATTAGAATAAGGTGATGTACAGATCAGGGTAATAACTCATGTTGGTGGCATAGAGATACAGGCCAAAATCAGGGTGGTAACGCTGAGTAAAACACCACGATTTATAGGCAACAACATGTATACGTAGAGAAACGTTTAACAAATATCATACATGTTTTTCCATTTATTATTTTTACTCTTTATATTAAGCTAAACAAAGCAGGCATTAGTCCAGCTGCTAAATCAACAAAGATTATTTAAATCATTTTAGTATAATTATAATAAATTTATTATGACTGCCATGAAAAGTCAGAGATAGCTGAACTATGATCCTACCAGATCCAAGCACTGCAATTACGACATTATTTCACCCGCCAGAAGGTAATACTTGTTTCTGTCTTTTATAAATAAAAATCATTAGATCACATATTATCGTTTATTCATTTTTAAATGGTGGTGTTAATACTCTGCTTAACGCTATGAGAGATGTAAACCATTTATTAGCACAATTTGATCATTACTTTATGATTGTTAACAGCAGGATTTACAGTGATAGTACATGTTTTTTTGTTTTTTTTATGTTTCAAGCTTTTTATCAGCTATTGTTTGAGTTTTGTAGAAAAAAAAAAAAGCTGCATTTTTAAACAAGCAGATCCCATAGCGGTAATCTCATTGTGAAGCTGGTGGTGTTTCTGCTTTAAGGTTATCATGCCAACCCAGGCCTAATAACACCACTACTGCTGCAAGATTATTCCCAATTCTGCTCACGCTTGCATCAGGCTACACAAGCTAGCCGCTGTGCCAAACACGCTCCAGTCGGCTCACCCGTTCATTCATCCCCTCCTCCTCTTCCTCACCGCCGCCTCACCCGGCCCTGCACCACTATCTGCTGCTCTATCTGCCTGCCTTTCTAGGCCACTCAGCCCCTCCCACTTTCATTCATATAACGCCATGTTTTGTTTTCATCCAGGCAGGATTAAGCAGGGAGGGAGGGGATGGATGGACGGATGAGTGAGTGAGTGAACGGATGGATGGATGCAGGAGGAATTTCAGTTGGACTTCACCAACAAGAGGAGGTGGCAGCTGTAGCATCCTGGATAGACTTCGTTCCTTAAGCAAAGCACATGCCTCACGTTAAACCTCAGTGTGTCATTTCATAAGTTGCTCACCTTTTCTCCCCACACACACACACACACACACACAAACACACGCAGTCTGTTCCAGGAAGGAGCTTAAACGCAAAGCCCGATCAAAGGTGTGCTGTGTTTACCTTTCATTTGACCGTGGCAGTAAAGAACCCTGGCTGCTCTCTACCCCGGAGAAGGAACGTGGGAGAAGCCGAGCAGCCAATCAAACGGCGTCACAAACGGCAGTGCTTTCTGCTCTTAACGCAGGAAAAAAAAACAAAAAAACTCCCCTTTAATTGGCAGTGTTGTCTAAAGGCAAAAATGCCGGGAACAACAAACATGCTTTTTAATTTGTTTTTACTCCAGAGCTGTTTACTCAGGAGAAAACGTGCACATGCATGTTTGTCCCTCCCCATCAGCCCCACCAGTCCCCTCGACTCAATTTCTTTCTTTTTTTTTTAAACACACACACACACACACACACACACACACACACACACACACACACACAGCTGGATTCACATTTACTATATTTGGCCACAGTGGGAGTCGTAAGCTTCCAAAGCTTTGCTATAAATGCTCGGACTGATCCATTGTAAGTAATTTTCCCTGAGATGGTTGAGGAGAGATACAGAGGAGGAGGAGAAGGAGGAGTGTAAACAGAAACGCACGGATCGCCGGGAGGCGGAGGGCGGTGGCATCAGAAACACCTTTATGGATGCAAACATGAATCAACACACACGCTCAGGGAAAAGATAGAAAGATAGAAAACAGCTGAAGATGCAGAGAAATTCAGCAGATCAGGTAAGACTTGAAGGAAGGGCGTCACAGGAACATGCAGATCTCATACATTTTAAAGTGAAAGTAACATCAGCTCCTTTATAAAACGCGATCCGTCTTTTTATCCGTCTTTTTCTCGCC